AAATATGTAAAACAAAAAAATATATATAAAAAATGTATACAAATATTTGTAGGTTATTTTAACATTTTTTACATTACTTTCATGACAATAAAACATCAAATATATACTGTATTGTATACTATATACTCTATTACAGTAACTGTCATTAAAATAATGTTACAAAGCAACAAACATTAATTCTTCCATAAATAAAAATAAATTAACTCCTATTTCTTTTTTTTCTTTTTTCTTTTTATTATTTTCATGACAAGAAAAAAAAATACTGTATAACAGTAACTGTCATGAAAATAATGTTACAAAGCAACAAATATTAAAGGTTCCATAATAATAATAACAAACATATTTTAGGTCATTTTTGAAATTTTACATGACAATGCATCAAAAAATTAATGTCATGAAAATAATATGAAATGAAAAAATAGCAAAGTTCCTAAAATTGGTGTGATTTTCTTATACATATATATATATATATATATGTATATATATACTAATCATTTAATTTAATAATATAATAATAAGGGGTGAAATAATATGACAATGACATATTTTCATGAGACTCAGCCATGTTTATTTTAATTATTTCTTAATTATTGCATAAATATGTGCTGGTCCTTCTATATATACTCTTCATTACATGAAGAGTGCAATCACAAATATCTAATCTAATTTACTACTAAATAAGATTGAATACTATCAATTTACATCGATTATACAATTCAAAGATACATTCTCTGGTTTGTCGAAACAAACAGGCGATACGTTGCTTATAATATGTGTAGTCTAGTATATTAACTATTGTACGATGTCAAAGGGGCGTGTGAGTATTGCGCTTGTGCCAGATCTGTTTTTGTGTTTGGATTGTAAAATCATCGAAGCTATGTTTGGTGTTTTTTGCCACCTGCTGTCTAATTCCTTCAAGTACAGCGAAAGGAAGAAGGACAGATGGTGAAAAGGAGGGAGAGAGTGAATAACACACTTTAGTGCTGCGTAAACCACAGAAAAGAAACGCACAACCTGCTCATTTACACCTGTGCACACCATTGACCACCTCTCACACACACACACACACACACACAATACACCAACGTTCACAAACACAATGAGTTCACAGCTGAAAAAACACGACGCAAATCAGAGATACGATTCAAACAAATACAATTTAGAAACCAAAAACAGTCTAAATACGACTAAATCATCCCAAAACAACAGAATAAAATCGACGCAAAACAACAGAAAATGATCAAAGTAATCACAGATCTTTTGGAATGTTTCCGGAAAACACGCTGGCAAAACTAATACAAGGCAAAACAAGGTCATTAAGGTCAGATTCATATTAGGCATGAGACATACTTCCATTTTAATACCATTTGCATTCATTTAGACAATTAACGATATGTGAGGTAACCGGTCAGAAGGGTTGTGCACGCGTTGACCTTGTAAAGTCCGACCTATGACCTTAAAACAATAAATAAGAGCATCTGAACAGTTTCAAATGGCATAAAGCTCATCGTCACCGAGACTAGAGATGTTTACTTGTTAGACAGCACCATAAACCCTCTGAACCTCTGGATATTGATTATTTAGCGCAAGTGTCATATTCATTAGTGACATTTTACAGTACACTGCTGTTTAAAAGTTTGGGGTCGGTAAGATTTTTAAATATATTTTAAAATATAGGCTCTTGTGCACACAAAAACTGCATTTATTTGATCAAAAATACAGTAAAAACTGTGATATATTATTACAATTTAAAATAACTTTTCTGTTTTAATGTATTTTAAAATGTATTTTATTTCTGTAATGTAAAGTTGAATTTTCAGCATCATTACTCCAGTCTTCAGAGTCACATGATCCTTCAGAAATCATTCTAATATGCTGATTTACTGCTCAAAAACTTTTCTGATTATTATCAATGTTGAAAACAGTTGTGCTGCTTCTTATTTTTGCAGAAACTGATACATGTTTTTCAGGAGTCTTTGATTTGATTCTTTTATTCAGGATTCTTTGATTTGGTATTCTTTGATTTTTTTTTATTCAGTATTCTTTTATTTTTTTTATTTTTTTTATTTTTAAATAATGTTCTTGCAACATTACAACATTATTATCAATGTTGATAACAGTTGTGCTGCTTAATATTTTTGGAATATCCGAGATAGATTTTTTTTTAAGATTCTTTGATTCAAGATTCATTGATTATTTGATTCAAGATTCTTTGACAGTTCAAAAGAACAGTATTTATTTGAAATAATTTTCTTGCAACATGATTATCAGTGTTGATAACAGTTAGGCTGCTTAATATTTTTGTGAAATCCTTTTTTTCAAGATTCTTTGATTCTGGATTCTTTGATTCAAAATAACTTGAAAGTTCAAAAGAACAGCATTTATTTAATATTCTGATTTAGTTTTTTTTGTTTTTTAACATTACAACATTATTATCAATGTTGATAACAGTTAACTGCTTAATATTTTGTGAAATCAGTGATCATTATTTTTCAAGATTCTTTTATTCTTTGTTTCAAAATTCTTTGAAAGTTCAAAAGAACAGAACTTACTTGAACTTTGTTGTTGTTGTTGTTACACCATTACAATATTATAATCAATGTTAATAACAATTGTGCTGCTTAATATTGTTGTGAAATCCATGATAGATTTTTTTCAAGATTCTTTGATTCAGGATTCTTTGATTCAAAATTATTTGAAAGTTGAAACGAACAGCATTTATTTAATATTCTGGTTTTGTTTTGTTTTTTTGAAACATTACAACATTATCAATGTTAATAACAGTTAATTGCTTAATATTTTTGTGAAGTCAGTGATCAATTTTTTCAAGATTCTTTGATTCAAAATTCTTTGAAAGTTCAAAAGAACAGACTTTATTTTAAAAAAATGTTGTTGTTGCACCATTACAATATTATTATCAATGTTGATAACAGTTGTGCTGCTTAATATTTTTGTGAAATCCAAGATAGATTTTTTTCAAGATTCTTTTATTCAGTCTTCTTTAATTGACGATTCTTTGATTCAAAATTATTTGAAAGTTCAAAAGAGCAGCATTTATTTGTTTAGTTTTTTTTTTTTTTTTTTGCAACATTACAACATTATTATCAATGTTGATAACAGTTAATTGCTTAATTTTTTGTGAAATTCATGATAGATTTTTTTCAAGATTCTTTGATTCAATATGCTTTGATTGAAGATTCTTTGAAAGTCCACAAGAACAGCATTTATTTAAACAGAAATCTTTTGTAACATTATAAATGTCTTTACTGTCACTTCTGATCAATTTAATGCATCCTCGCTGAATAAAAGTATTAAAGAAATCTTTGTGACCCCAATCTTTTGAACGGTAGTGTATATTCAGCTATTAACCAGATGAGTTTAGCAAACCAGTGTACTAAAGCATGAACTGGGAAAGGAGTCAGAGGTATTTGGTCAGGAATCGTTTGGCAGTATGAAACAGACTCGAGTGTTTGTCAGCCTGAGCCATATTTACGCTCTTCATTGCACACATAGGCAGCGCTTATCTCGCTCCAGCCGCCGGCGCGTCCTGACAGCACTATTGTGAGCCAAAACATTGTCATTTTGACGGCCCACAATAGGTTGCGGATCGATCCGAACGCCTCTGCGAGAAATAAAAACAAACAGCGTCAAGTAAACAAGACCTGAAAGCGTTGGGGTTTGTTCGGTTCCTTTGGTAGTGCACACTAGCGTGAACAAGCTCACATTCCAACACTGATACATTACAGGCCCGGCTCAAACGGCGTAAACGGGCATATTCACTCTTCCAGATGCCAAAAACATAAAGAGAAGGAACGGGGAGGTGTGCAAATAAGCCATCGTATACAAAACCAAAAACACAATCGCTTCATAATATCATCTGCATATGTACAGTACACAGTAATCAACAATGATCACACAAACAATCAGACACTGATAAAACTATCCATAGAAATATATAGTGAGATATACTATAAGTGTGTTTACATCTACATCATCCGGATTATCAATAAATATGACTTCCATCCAAAGTCTGTGCTTTTCGGCTTCTCGGACAAACTTGGAATGACTAATAAAATCTCCCATGATGCACTGCAGGGTGACGGATTACAACCAATGTGCACTGATATTCATGATTATTAGCTCCGCCCATCATAGTTCACAAGGTTGCAATCGATATGCACATTACTTTGGCGTTTTTTTCTGTTGATTTAGTATATTAGTATTCTTTCTTAGATCTCAACCGACAGATATGAACCTAGAAACTGCATTAGGGTTTGTGAAAATTTTCATAAATAATTTTTTTGTAGCGGGAAATCTGTAACTAGCTAAAGTGGGTTTGCAGTAGGTGGGACACAATATAAAATGCATTAGCTTTTTCTCATGAATATTAATTAGGTCACATGATGTTCGCCCAGACCCAATTGATTTGATTTGGTACGCAAGCGAGAACCAGTGTTATTTTAGTATTATTTATATACTAATATAGTTTTTATTGATATTTCGAATTAGCTTTTATTTTTATAAAATTAATTTCCATTTTATTTTAATGTTAGGTTTTTTTTGATAATTTTGTTATTTGCTTTTGTTTTGTTTTGTTTTGTTGTGTTTTTTTAAATAATCCGAAATATTTTAATGTTAGTTTTTTTTTGATAATTTTGTTATTTGCTTTTGTTTTGTTTTGTTTTGTTTTGTTTTGTTGTGTTTTTTTAAATAATCCGAAAAAGTTTTAATTTATTTTTATTCCAGTTAGTCACTTAATACTTAAACCTATTTCAGTTAGTTCCCAAAGCAACATTTCTTATTTTCATTTCATTTACATATATACTATTAGAGTTTCTATTAATATTTTGAATTAACTTTTGTTTTTATACAAATTTTTCCATTTTCATTTTAGTTACATTTTTGGCAATTTTCGTATGTGCTATTGTCACTTTTTTAATAATTCCAATAATTCCAAACATTTCTAATTTTCATTTAGTTCTGTTTTATTTTATTTCAGCTTTACTTTATAACAAAAATGTTTTTAATGGTTGTAATTAGTAAGCAATAACAACACTGGTAAGAACTGCTTGCACTTTCAACATTTGCATAATTACTGCACACTTGGTATGATGTTACATACGTGTCCCGTCCTAAATGAGGAGAAAAACTACTTGCCATACCCAAAATGTATTAATTAAACTTCAAAGCACCTACAAATGTGGTTAAAATGAAGTTTAAGACCATATTTAATGCTAATTTTGCTGTTCAAGCTTCAAGTAGCGAAAGTAGCGATTGGAGTCAGATCAGCCAAAAAAAAAAAATTTACATTAATTTTCTTTGTGCTGTGGCCATGCAAAACGAATCTCATAATCTATAATGATTATCTCCTAAAGTCTGGGAACTTTCCAGAAGTTTTAATAGCCGCTACGCCCCTGGTTGGAGGCATTTACATTTTGATTCAGTCAATTTGAGAGATGCTTTCAAGTCTAATTCACATTTTCCATTCACAGTCTCTCTCAGCTTTTCTGAGAAATTAAATTGAATTAACCTCCAGAGCCGACTTGTCATTTTGAAACACACGCTGAATAAAGCCTTGATAGGGCACAAAGATATGCTGCTCTCAGGTCCCACTTTGGACTTTAGTCTTTCCACTTTTCTTCAAGGTCATTCTGAGCCCAAAGGAAAAGCATTCAGATTTGGTCGTAAGAAAGACGGAAGCAGCTAATATAAAGGGCAAACTAATCAACATGACATGTCCTCTTGTTCCAGGAAATTAACAATTAGAAAGAGCTTCATGTTGGGTTGATATTTCAGTACATAATTAACAAGAGCTCTATGATTCTAAGTGTTGATTTTACGCTTTAAATATCAGTGATCGGATGATGGCTCAACGATTAAACGCCCGTAAAACAACATCATTTAGCGTGATACCGGACGAGACAAAAAAAAAACAGGCAGCTTGGCAAACACAATCTCACTTTACGCTCAGTATTAAAACCACCACATTCAGATAAAAATACACGGCGCTTTGAACACAAACGCACAACAACAAACGATTAAAATCAGACTGGTCCACGTTACGCTTTGATCCTTCGGTAATGGTGACCTGTGAGGGGGGGGGGCGGGAAACCGACTGGTGCAATGCATGATGGGATGGGTGGTTAGTTGTTTCGTTTGGGCAGGTAGCTCAAGATGAGTTCGCCTACGCCGAGGAAGTAAACCACCTGAGCGATGCCGAAGAGCGGCGCGATGACGAGAGCTCGACAGTACGCCCCCTTCAGGAAAGCAGCGGGACCTTCTTTGCGTAGAATCTTCCTGTGATCAGATGGAAAATGGATCAAAAATGGCAAAAAAGTTCAGACGTTTTGTACCCAAATCAATGGTATTAGTTAAATAAGGTCACCTGATGACCTCACTGGCCAATAAAAAGCAAATCACCTGATGCAGTCAGTCACCCCGCTGTAAGTGTCCTCTTGACTCCCTCGTGTCAGCGACTGTAGCCTGGTCTTTATCACTGAAACACACACACACACGGTTCAACGGTCAGTTACGAAACCGCACAGATGTTGCTTTTTGCATTGCACAACAGTTTTTGCTCACATACAGGCTCCGTTCCAAAAGCTAGTGAGCTGCTTCACTGCATACTGCCTACTTAGCATACCGACAGAGATGAAACGTGACTGGTTTGGAACATTCTAGGTAAGCAGCAACTCATATCAATTGAGACTCGTCAGGCAATTTTTTTTAAACAAAGTTTGCATTGTGTATCACATGTATATACAACATTTAATATTCAATATAAAAAAAAATTTAACATTTTTTTTTGACAAAAATAATCAATATTTCATACATTTTCATACATTTAAAAAAATAGAAAAAAAAATCATATTGAAAAATGCAATATATTATATTTAGTATTTTAAAAATGTTACAAATATATACTGAAAAAATTTAACATTTAGTTATAAATAATAAACAAAACAAACACTAAAGAATGTATAATATTTAATATTCAATCATAAAAAAGACAAAAAACTAATATAAAAATTTATTATTCAGTATTTTAAAAATTGAAGAAAAAAATCAGAAAAATATTCAATATTTAATATTCAGCATTTCAAAACCAGTAAAGAAAAACATTGAAAACTCTTTCATATTCAATAATAAAAATGTACAAATCTAATATAAAAAATATTCAATATATAGTATTTTTAAAAATAGACAAAAGCAATATAAAACATGCAATATTTAATATTCCGTATTTTAAAAACTGAAGAAAAAAAATATATATTGAAAAAAATGCAATATCTAATATTCAGCAATTCAAAAATAGAAAAGAAAAACAAGTCTTTAATATTCAATAATAAAAATAGACAAAAGTAATATACAAATATTTCATATTTAGTATTTTTAAAAACAGACAAAACTAATATAAAAAATATACAATATTTTCAGTATTTTAAAAACTGGGGGAAAAAAATATTGAAAAAATATGCCATATTTAATATTCAGCAATTCAAAAATCAGAAAAGAAAACATATTGAAAAAATCTTTAATATTCAGTACTAAAAAAATACACAAAACTAATATGAAATATTTAATATTTAGTATTTTTATAAATAGACAAAACTAATACTGAAAAAATGAATACATTATTGAATACAATGAATAAATAATATTTAGTGTTAAAAAACATAAAAAGTATTCAATACTTAATATTCAGTTTTTTAATTGAAAAAAAAAACAAATGTTGAAAATGTTTAATTAGATTATATTTACATTCATATTTAATTTAATTAGATTAGAACTATTTGTATTCATATTTTTAGGATTGACTGAAATGTATTTGTCATTGCTCTTTAGTGCGTATTTTTCCACTGAGCTCAGTGCAAAATTAGGCCAAAACAAATTTTGTGGTACAGCATTTGCGTCAGAAGTATTTCTAGGATGCTTTAAAATGCTTCCTATGTAGGCGGCTCACTAGGTTTTGGAACAGAGCATCAGGAGCAGCAATGATTTTCAGAACATCATGATTAAGACGTTTCAGTGAAGAGAAGCTCACCATCTACAGGGTTGACGGCGACGGCGGCTGTGCTGCCTGCAATGCAGCCCGATATGAACGAGACATAGAAGGGAGCGGGACCGTCGACTCCTCTCTTCCCCAGATTATTCAGATTAGCAAACAGAGGGAAATAAATGATAGAAAACGGGACATCCCTGAAGGGAGGGAAACACAGAGCTGAGATAGTCTGAGAGTCTGTGATCTGACGACTGATTGTGTGATATGTTTGCATGTTTGTTCCCCAACCTGAGCAGCGTGGCTCCCAGGCCCTTGTAAAGACCCGCGATGCCCTTTTCCTTCAGTAACTGTCTGGTGAGTTGCATAGCTGTGGGGGACTTCAACTCCACGGGGCCCTCGGGGGTCACAGCCTGAGGCATGAGCTTCCTCTGGGCCGCTGCACACACACACACATACATTACAGTATCCTGCATAAATTATATCAAGGAATTTCAAAGTCACTGTCAGTCTACAATCTGTTGAGGTTTACCTGTGTAACCCAGAATGCCTTTTGACCCTCCTAGCTCAGTTAGCCAAACATAAACCAGACTTTTTTTTATAAAACACTTAAGTTTTAGAAGTAAAAAATGTGATATGAGCCTAATGGATAACACTTGAGCAGTCTTGCAAACTTTTTTTGTATGAATTTATATAGCAGATTTTAACCCAAAAAAATGTTCCTTGTGTAGAAAGTATAACAATGTTTTTAAGATTTTTTATTTATTTATTTTTGCTTGTACATTATTCAGTACAACTAACAATAACTTAATATTCAGTATAAAAATGGAAATAACTGATTCTATATTTTAAAAAAGGAAAAAAATAAAATTGAAAAGAGTCAATATTTAAAATACTGAGTACATTTTATGTTTTTTAAATAAAAGTTTATATTATTTTTATATTATTATATATATTATATTATATTTATATTATTATATATATTTATATTATATATATTTTTTAAAGATTCAGTACTGCTGACAATGACTTTTAATATTCAGTATTTTTAAAAAGGG